TTTTATAATTTAATACAAAAGAAATTCATATACCTGATCCAAGGTTTGTTCTATGGTAATTAGATAACAATTTTCATTAAAATATTTTTAAATAGCTGGTTTTCCGCTGGCTTCCCTCTTTTAAACATTTGAGTTATAAAGCAATTTTAGTCCTCTTTCATTTTTTACCAAACTTGTTTGGATAAGCGGTTTGTTTATTATGGCGAAAGGACTTTTATTTTGGACTTAAAAAATGTCCGGCCAAGTTTAACTGTTGAAAAAAATAACTGTTATTCTCGGTCCCTGGTTAAGACTTATCAAAATGTGGTGTGGCAGTAATTATTTCGACTACTGTACATTTGTTAATTGTGACCTTAAAGAACTGAAAAACGTGGTATTTATATGATGGTTTTGGAACTGAATTTTTACTTTTTGTTTTTTTATAGCAGTAGTGCAGTAACGTTTCAAAAGTTATAAAAACTTAATATTAAATATAATAAACTTTGTTAAAAATTTCTAGTCAAATAACAATAACTTTGTCTGTGAAGCTATAAATAAATAGGACTAGTGGAAAAACGTGTTGTTTTATTTGATGTTGTTGGAAGCAAATTTGAGTTAAATGTAGCGTTGTCAAACGCCTCCTCAATAACAGCAAAGACTCCCATTGTGTACTAACATGCTTCCAGGCGAACCTCGATCTTTGTTGCTAGGTCATGATTTGATACGCACGTTTATGATCACTATTGGGGTTGTTCACCAAAATCCTTGATCTAATGCACTGACCATGCGCTCCAGACTTTTAAGCATGAAGGATGTCAGAAAATTTTTGCATTTTTGCCAGCGCATAAACATCCTTCCCTGGTTTGGGAATGAAGACTACCCTCACTTTTCCTCCAAAGAGTGGGAGCGTAGCCAAAGGTCAGTCAGGCCCTAAAAACTGTTATTAGAGCCCCATAAGCCCTTCTTTAGCACATTCGGATACACACCATCTGGTTAAAAAAAACCTTACTGGCTCCTCAGTCACCACCGGTTATGCTATGTGCTAGTTTGGTTCGGTTGCTTTTGCCGTCGCGCTGTCCTCCACCTTATCTTTGCCTGCGTCTGGTACATATATGTGCACATATAACAAATTCAATTTTTTCACAAATTCCCACGCGATTAAATATTGTTATCAACTTCTACTTTATCAAAACAGTTAAGCCAGTAGTCTTTAAAAAGATTTCAACATAAATTCTTTGCACATGCTAGATACATACACACATGCTTATGTACCCAAGTATGTTTGTAGTAAAAACTTCTGCCAACGATCTGATTACTACTTAATCTGTGTGAATGTGTTTAAATTTAATAAAACTAGTGTTCGCCCAGCGGTTGAAATTAAACCTTTTAAATCAAGGGGAGTTGAGGTGGGCTGAGCTGAACCGAGCTGAGTTTATTTGAGTTGACTGAAGTGAATTGAGATGAAATACCTTGAACAACATAACAGAATATAACATAACATAACACAACACACCAGAGCACAATACAATACTACACAGCATAACATAACATAACATAGCATGACATAACCGAATATAACGTAACACAACACAACACACCAGAAAACAATACAATACAACGCAGCATAACATAACGCAACATAGCATAACATAGCAAAGCATAACATAATATAACAACATCATAACGCCGCAACATAATATAACACAACACAACATAGCATAACATAACACCACACAACACAACACAAAGCTATACAACAGCGCGGTACAAAACTATACAACACACCACATCACAACAAAACATAACATAATGAAGATGATAAATTGGAAGCTGTGGTCTGTAGCTCGTCGTTTTCAATGTGTTCAGAACTTCATTCTTCAATTTTATCTTTTTCTCTTTTTTGTCTCTACCTTTATCTCTATCTTTGTATCTGCCATTTTTTTATCTTTTCATTTTTATATTTATCACTTCCTTGACTTTAATTCAGATCTTTTATCTGTATTATTTTCTTTATCTATGCGTTCATCCACACCAATTCTATCAATAACAATTCCATAGATATACAGTATGAAATAATAAATTTGTACGGGAGGTACCACGCCCAGCTTTCGAATAACCCCAATATTTCTCCATCATTAAAGAATTAAGCTTGTATACATATCTCGGTGCCAAGTTCCAGTCCTCTGCAAATAAACACCTCCAGAGATATGTAGCATAAAAAAATCAATTTGTGAGTGTGCCTAATTTGGTTATGACCGGGAAAGCGGTTAAGGAAGTAGCCTATTTTTCAATACAGGTGGCCGGTCATTTGCCAGTAAGATTTCTTGTAGGGTTGACTAAAGGAAAATAGCCAAAAATTTCTCTGACACAAGGCTACCTATTTCTAACCGATTTTAGGTCGTTAAATTTGTACAAATGGAAACTTACATACATATATAAATTTAAAAATATATATATATTGCAAATAGCAAAATCGACTAAAAACGGCTAGTTTTTTTTGGCAAAGCTGCTATTTCGCCTGCCGGCTAAACCGAATTTTCTCCCGCTGTTTGCTTTCGCAACCGGCTAAAAGCGCAGTTAGTCAACGACGCAGCGTAAACGTAGGTTGACGTACGTAGCAGCATATAAAATTTACTGTTGATAGAGAGAGAGAAGCAACGGCAACGTCACCGCCATTCGGTGGTGAGTTTTCGTTAACACGCGAATCCCATAAGGTAGATCGTGTCTGCGTCAACCTACGTCTACGTTACGTCACTGACTGTTTGCGCGTTAAATTTAGCCGGAAAATGGCGAAATAGCAACGCTGCTTGCAACTGAACAAAACTTATCTTCAACGCCGTTGCATAACATACCGCCGGCGCAGCGGTATGCAAATTTATTGAGATGCCACCTAAAAAAGGAAAGTTTTTTTATTAATGTAACACTCTTTCTTGCATTTTACTCTTTACATAATTTCAAACATTAATTACTAAAATAAAGAAACTAAGATTAGTTACAAATTAACATGAGTTTCTTAAACTAGTGCTGCTGAACCCAAGGGCATTGTGCACAAGGCCGCTGCGAACACCACGAAAACCAAATGTCTGGCAACTTGATTATGTATGGACGCTCACGGTTGCCACACACTTAGAAAAAATTTGACCAACATTTTTCAAAAAGAACAAAAGAGTTACCAAAAGTATTAAAATCTTTTTTTTTCTATGAAAGTTGCCACGCAACTGTTTTATTTATCTATCGATTATCTTTGTTAGTAGCTTGACTTCATCATTCTTTTATCTTTATATTTTTTCCCCCAATAACGAGCCGTACGCTGTAGAAGTTAAATTTGAAGAACCTGTCCAAACCTGTTGAAAATTATTTTAAAAAACATCCACCTTATTTAAAAGCGAAAAAAAACCTGTTTTTGTTTTCAGTACAATTTTTAAACTTTCTTTTAGCTGAATAAAGGTAAATTGCAAATATCTCGAAACCTTGTCCACAGGAAAAAAATTACTCGACTTTCGGAATCAGCGAGCTATTCAAAATAGTGACAGAAAAAAAATTAAAATTTGTGATCCAGAGAAATCATTGATTTATAGATTTCCATCCCTTTAGACCAATTCCTTGTATTTTTATTTGAATAAATTTATATATATTTCGTAACCAATCTTTAAATTAACTTTAAATCAATAAACCAACTTTAACATTTTAAATAAACTAGTATGTATGTAGTACGAAAATAAATCTCTTTTGAGGCAAGGATGGCTTCATTATTCCACAGGTTATTATTAAAATCTCGTCTGCATGTCGTTCAAACAGTTTTTGGTGGAAAAATTCAAATAATAATCTTCTAAACTTGAAAGGACGTAGCCTACACCAAACCCCGAGCTTCTGATTTTACATGTGTATGTAGACATGTGCATATCGCCAATCATAAATCACAATTTCGTATCTATCATCAAAAATAAATTCATTCAATAACAAATTAACTGTGTGTATGTAATTTTGCCGCAATTGGTCTGAAAGTTACCAAATGAGATCGGATGTAACCAAATTACCAAAGAGAAAAAATTTACCAATTTTGGTAACATTTTACGCAAGTGGCAACCGTGTTCACGCTTTGTGTACTTTTTCGTTCCTAGTTTTGCATTTCTCTTTCATTCTCTTCAACTTTGCCAATTTCATTTTCGCCGCCACCGCTGCCTGCTACTACAACGTCTGCGTCTGCAGGTCAACGCCTGGAAAAAACCGAAAAATTTGCATAAAAATAGTTAAAATAATAAATATTTCCATAAAAGTGTGTACCGCAAAGTGCAGATAGTGTTTATCACTACAAATAGTCAAATTTGTTGCTAAAATTGCCATCGTTTTTGCAATTTGTTGGTGCGAAAAATTAGGTGAAAAAACGCCGAAGCAATAAAAAAAGAAGAAGAAGAACAGCTG